GAAAATACAAGTGACATTACATGAGTACGCATACAAAACACAGAGAACATCAACTGCTAATAATCATCTTTAAATAATTAACACCAATATTTATATAGGGATAAAACGAGACGATCAAATAAGACGACAGCAAAATCAGTTTAACGCTGCATGTAAAAACGACGCAAAGCTACACAAACAGAAACTAGGAGAAATAAAAACAATTCAAGTTGTGTTTTCTTGCCGTGTGCTTGGTGTGCGTTTCACACATCAGAGCTGTTTGTACTTTCGTGTGTTCTTTCAACAAAGTCTGTTCATGAAGAAAGGAATGTGCTTTTTTACTGTTATGTGAAAACACAAGTTAATTTAAAATAAATTTGAAGTTAATCACCTGTTTGAGTGGCTTTTATATCAATCACATCAGCTCCCGTACAAACACCATCACTTTTCACCAGCCTTACAAAAAGACAAAAGGGGCACGGGAGCAGGAGCGCGCAGAAGTGCGCCATCTGCTGGTTACGTTCAAAACTTTTTGAATCGCCATTCATTTCACCATCGGGACATTTTTTTTTTTGCTGTGGAAAAAAATATTATCAGAATATTTCTCTGAGCCAACTGGGAAGATAAAAAACACTGTTGAACTAGAAAACTCCTGGCGCTGGATGTGTGATAGTAATGTTTTTTTGGAAACACTCAAAAAAATGTAACTTTACTGTAAATTAGTTGTGTTTGCACTGCAAAAAATGGTATCTTGTCAAGTGAAATTTTCTTTAATCTAGTCTGTCTAATATTTCTCATAATAAGATGGTTGTAAGATTATTATGAGATTATTTAACTTATTTCTAAACATTCTTGTTTTAAGCAATTTTATCAAGTTATTTACTTATATTAGCAGATCATTTTGCTTGATTTAAACCAATACAGTGAAATAATTTTACCTGATATAACTACTGGTTTTTGCGTTTCTTTGACATTTCAGGTATCGACAGTTGTTCCGCCAAAGTCTAGAATGCGTTCATAAAATATTTCCAACAAATTTTTTGAAGCGCTAAAACATTTTTTGTAAGAAAACCTTTGAATGGAAACAAAGCTGATGACATGGCAGCAAATATAACTGAATATGGGGGCAATACCGCATGTTGTGGTGTTCAACCTGCAATACGCAGCACCTCCGATTCATCGTTAACCTACGTTATGAACGTAAACAGCAGAGGGCGCTCTCCAGCAGAGACTTCTGAGGTCGTGGCTCATTATGTAGTTGGCAGTATTTTCTCTATCATGGAAATGAATGGCATTTTTTTAAAAAACAATGATGATGTGCTCAGACAGATTTTGTTTCAAAGCTAATAAGTTTTCTCCATTTTTCTGCGAATATGAATTATGAGGTTATTAAGTAATTGAAATGCTGATATTGCTATACATGCTACAGTCGAGCTAGCACTCCTGCGCATTTAGGTTACGTTTACACAGCAGGTAAAAGTGGCCCGTATGTGACACAGATGTGTCTGTGTGTCAGTGTGAACAGATAAACACACTGAATCTGACATTTTCAATTCCGATTTGAGACGCTTTCATATGTGGCACTGAAATCCGATACGTATCCGATCCGCGGCCATGCGACTCGCACACAGCCATGGTTCATTCCATTGAGTTCAGTTATGGTTTCTTTTTCCTTCTGCTGTGCTGCCAAATTCATAACCAAGAAATACTGGTGAAAAACTACACACCAAAGTGGCTTCGCAAAGGCTAATAGACTAATACACCACAGAACAGGCTCGATTCTGACTTACAACACCGCTCACTCGAGTCTCTAAACGTACGACAGCGTTTTACGGCCACTGTTAATAAAAATAAAAAGAGTAGACTTTGTGAATAAAGTCGTAATATTTCAAGAAAAAAGACGTAACATTTAGAGAATAAAGTCGTACTATTTTGAGAAAAAAGTCGTAGAATTATGACAGTAAAGTGGCATTAATACCAGGAAAGGTCGCAATAAAATGGGGTGTTGAGTTGGTGGAGTTCTACTTTCATATCGATTCACCCATAAAGAAACACTCAGTCTCCCTGTCTCTCCTGCACATCAGCACCAGCCTGTTATTAGGATAAGAACCGGCTGAAACGGCTGAGCAGGAAACTGTGTTTATCTAGAATAAAGAGCCAGACGGACTCGGAGGAAACTGTCTGTCTGTGTTGTTGAAGGAGAATCTCAGGCAGGGTCGTCTACACGGCTATCGGGGCTGCATCTCCACCCATTCAAAGAGGGCATGAAGTTTCACAGACAGTGAGAATGATGATCACAATGATCCACAGAGAGACAGGAGTGAGTGGAGCTCCGGCGCCAGTACAGCAACCGAGACCCCAACGCGTTATTGCAGCCCCCCTACAGTTAGCCCCCCTACAGTACAGCAACCGAGACCCCAACGCGTTATTGCAGCCCCCCTACAGTTAGCCCCCCTACAGTACAGCAACCGAGACCCAACACATTATAGCAGCCCCCTACAGTACAGCAGCCCACTTTATCCTCCAAATATTACAACTTTTTTCTCAAAATATTACGACTTTTTTTTTTTCAAAATATTACAGCTTTTTTTCTCTAAATATTGTGACTTTATTCTCGAAGTCTACTGTTTATATTTTTATTATCAGTGGCCTTAAAAACCCCTAAACGTGCATTATTTGTGCATAGTTAGCTGGAATCTAGCCTGTACTATCATGTGTGGCACTTGTAGCCTGCTTGTAACTATGTCAGCGTTAGCTTTGACAAGCAACTCAAAACACAACAAAACAGGCTTGATTTCGACTTCCTGTCACTCCAACACCAGTCGTTCGACTTTGCTCTCACAGACATGAGTTTTTATAGTCTACACTTGTAACGCTTGTCAAAATCGAACCCGTACTGTGGTGTTTGGATCTGTAGCCCATTAGCTAAGCTGGAGTGCTGCTAACTAGGAGAGAGGAGCCAGCTAGCACGGAGGATACAGATTCAAACTCCTCAGAACAGGTTTAATTTCAGGTTCTGTCACTCCAACACCAACCATTCGACTTTACATCTTCAGATTTGAGTCATTATCGTCTAAACTTGCGCCAGTGTAGCTTCTGTTAGCTAGAATTGAACCTGTTCTGTGGTGAGCAGAGCTGTTTGCATGCTAACTTAGACAGCAAGCATATCGCTGTTGGCAGAAGAAAACCTCGTATCTCCAAAATGGTAACTTTACAGGAGAAGGAAAAAACCCTCTTTACTTTTAATGTAAGTCAATGGAACGTTTTTCAGGGTCATTTTGGGCCGTTTCTTTTGGTCCATTCATCATGAAATTTACACACAACATAAAGACCAACGTGTATTTTCAAATTGTCAAAAACTGAAAAACGACAAAAATGGAGATACCTGTTGGCCTTTATGTTGTGTCACACTGATGACATCACTCGACTTCCTTTTACCTGTTTTCTGAGGATCTATGAAGAAAAGCCCATGGTGAGTCCACTGTGTCTTTCAGTTATCAGAGATTTTCTCATTTAGCTCATGATTTCATATGAAGCTTTTAGCTGAAGTCACTGGTGCGACCGACTTTATTCTGAGGTAATTGTGAAAAAATAGAATACAAATGGATTAAATTCCATATTTTAGTGGATATTCCATGATTGACAACATGTGGTTTGATGCTCTGTAGCAGTTATTTTGTAAAATGCATTTACTTAAATATGTCTCTGGCGTTGCCTTTCTTATCCAATGACGATCAGTAACACCAGTGACCCCTATGGATGGATAAAAAAAGCGGACGTTTCTGTAGAATGACCCATTTGATTGACTGGTGGCTTGAAAACTGTGCACTGCTTTCATTTATTTGGTGACCGCGATGTAAGCGGGTCATCCGGACGCTAACGGCAAACTACAAAACGACGAAACGACCTCAGAGCTCCGTTAAGAGGATCACGGGTTCTGTTATTTATTGTCTCCAATAAACTTCATTTAAATAAAAACTTCATTAAAGGACATTTGGCAGGTTGGAACCTTCTGCTTTTCTTTAAACACTCATATTTACTGTCACTTCCACTTGTTTTCTTTCAGAAACTGTATATTGTTGATCGTTTTATTCTTGCATATGCTTTTTTTTACCACTCCGCCCAGTTAATCCACAGGTAATTGCACATTTTTCCCATTGAGGATGTGACTTCGAATTGTCCGTGGTTCCCCACATTAACAACAGAAACACTGCACTACTACAAATAAGCTGTTTGATCCAGTCCAGCGTCTAAACTCTAACCTAAATAACTCAGTATAAATAGATACATACAGTACAGGTTACACAAGATGTAAAATTTGCTTGATCTAGATGGAAACGGTGTATTGAAAACGGCTTTTTTTGCACGGCTATTGCTTCATTCAGAATAAACTACGACTCTAGAGGTTGGATATGAAAGAGAATGTGCTATTTGCTGCCTCTCGTGGGGACATAGTGCATTTAATGCTAGGGAGAATAACTAAGATTGTAAAGTTATTGTTCAAATGTTTGGTTGAATATGCCTACAATGCTTCTACCTGCTGGAATATACGACGACTTCAACAATTAATAACGTTCGTGGTGACACTTTACTGTAGGGTACTGTTCATAAGGCTACGTGACACCTACATAAGCTTGTCATGATAACTGGCATAACCCTATATAATTGTTTATTAATGCTTATTCCAACATGCGTAATTCGCTATAAAGGTTAAATTGGCCAATTTTGATCAACATCAGCTAAAGCAGCCTTTATGACAGATGATGCCTGTTGTAATAAGCATTTATGAACAGTAATGTAGGGTTATGTCAGTTGTTATGACAACTTTATGTAGGTGTCGTGTAGCCTTATGGACAGCACCCTACAGTAAAGTGTTACCACGTTCTTCTTACTTAAACCTTCTCCTTTATCATGTGTACCAGCTTGTTTTGTCCCGTTATTGTCCCAAAAACAACATTTTTACAGTTATTCAAGCACCAGTAGAATTCCTGCAGATTTCATGATTTAAAATATATGTTTCCTTTTTTTTCCGTTCGATATCAGTTCAACAGTTTTCTCGATGATTATATTCTTTTGGTTATGGTTAGTAAAGCGAACGTTAGGCCGCTTTTAACACATGACGGCAGATGTTTACGTGCGGGGCCTGTTGAACTGATTCCCAGTAGAGGTGGTTGAACGTCTGCAGCACCGGTTGATCTTCCCTGAGGTTTCTCCCTCGTTCTTGATTCAGCGGTAGGTTCCAGAGTAAGCGTTACAGGTGATATGAGCGGAGCTATAGGGCGCATGTTAAAGGGACTCGTGAGCGGCGTTGCCAGTCCAAGCTGGAACGAGGGTTTCACCCCTTTCTTTTTAGAACTTCAGGAGCTACTTCCCCCGGATGTTAGCCTCAGCAGGGAGGGATGGAGGCTTGACCCGGGAAGGCAGGGCCCCGGCCCGCTTGTTCCGGTAAAACTCTGTCGGTGCGGTGCCAAACGGGCCGTCTCCAGATCCCAGGTCAGGCTCTGTGGGAGGAGAAGAGAGAGAGGCGGAGCTACTACAAGCAGGTCCAGGCTCAGGCGCTAACTGAACACTATGCAGCAAAGAGCTAACACTGAACCACATGGAATGATAGACTATACTGTCTGCAGCTTCTTTACGGTGTGTATAGGTCTTCCACTGGAACAGGAAGGCCATACAGGAACATTCTGGTCATGCTAATAATTTTATGACCCTCTGAAAGGGATATTCCACCAATTTTTTCCAAATTTCTGCATAATTAAACATTTCAGAAGTCTTTCAGAGTGGTTTGGTGTGAAATGCTCCATTCTACACTCTTAAAAGAGATGGTTTTTCAACGGTGCGTGGTTCTATATGGAACTATGAACACTCAAAGAACCATTTGCATGCTTAAAGGGTTCTTTGCAAGGTGAATTGTTCTATTGTTACAAGCCTGAAATCATACTATAGCAGAACTCTTTTCGAAAAGGTTCTAGAACCATATATAACACATTCTCTATCAATTTGAAGAACGATTTTACCATGCAAAGAACGCTTTAAGCATGCAAATGTTTCTTTGAGTGTTCACGGTTCTATATAAACCCACTGTCTTTACTAAAGAACCCTTGAAGAACCATCTTTTTAAGTATAGAGAAACTTACTGAGTCAGAATTGTTCACAGTGGTGGTGATAGGAACCAGACGTCCACCTCTAAAAGGTCCCTCACAGAAAGTTACTACAGGAAATGGTTATGAATTCACTGCCTAGTTTGGCCTATATATATATATATTTGAAATAAATCTGACTATATATATATATATATATATATATATAGTCAGATTTATTTCTATTTTACCATCAACAACAAAACCCAGAAGACTCGTGTAGGTTCACTTGTGGTTTTGGATAGTAAATAAATGTCTATATTTGTGTTGTAGTCATGGCGACCCCTGGTTCCCATCACCACCACTGTAAAGAAATCTGAGTCTGTAAGTTTCTCTACAATGAACCTCTTCACATCAAACCACTCGGAATGCCTTTGTTTGCATCTCTACAACTAAACCAAGCAGAAATTTTGAAAAATTGGTGTGCACTTCCCCTTTCATTTACCATGTCATTGAGCTGCACTATACTTGTACCAGTGATTGAACCACTGTGGATCAATAAAATCAAAAAGTCTGTCCCAAATGTGCAGAAATCATCATCACGGAGGGCCACAGGGCGCCATTTGGGACAGACCACAACCTCTCCTGCATGCTAGTTCACTTGTTGTCCAGCAGAGGGCAGCAGATTGCAGCGTTACCTGGCCAGATGATTGCCTCCAGCAGCTGCACCCTGCGAGCCAGCAGCTCCAGGTCAGCCTGCAAGTCTCGGAACATCTTCAAACTAACGTCCTACCAAAGATCAAGAGCAGTGACAAGCACAGAGGGGTCCGGCGTCAGGTTTTCGAGGAGCTGGGGGTCCGTCCCTGAGTGCTCGTCCCTTGTTAGCCTCTCACATGGGAGAAGAACGAGCCTAATCTGACCCCCTGACTTTGACTATTGACCTTTAGAGCTGACCCTGCCTCTGGCTTCCTACTCACCATGGATACCGATCATAGTCTCGAGGATTAAAACCCTCTCGGCTAAGATCTTCAGGGCCTCGCGGATTTGGTGTATGCCGTCCCCCTGCGGAGACAGATACAGCCGTCAAGTTATGGGGCGGAGCCAAACAAAGCGCTTGCCAAGATGCAAAGTCATTCATTCACAAGGTTAACTCTGTCCGTATTAGCAGTTAAAAGGGTTAAAACATCCAGTCCAAAACATTCACCACAGATAACTTTCACTACACTGCAAAAAAAAAGGTGTCCTGATGAGTGAAATCATCTTAGATCTCATCAATACGTCTAATATTTCTCATTATGAGACACAGCACTGTGCAAAAGTCAGAGACCACCCTTCATTTATATGACTCCCAGTCAAAACAGCTATTAAGTACAAGTTAGTCATTTTTCAGAGTCATTTAATTGAAATAAACAGAAACCTTAATAACTAAATATCATATAAAAATAACATTTTTAAAAACTATTTAGTGTCTATCACTCTTTGCCTTTATAGGCCCTTTTCATATTTCCACATATCTGCTGGACGTTCTCGATTCAGGGTGACGCTGCTTCTGCTAAAGCAGCGACGATAACAACGATGATGTGTTGAGAGTGTACAGCTCACGCAAGTGTTTCGAGTTCGAAGCAAGAACAACTTTTATCTCAGTTTCAGTGAAGAACCATCTTTTTAGATATAGAGACACTTAGTTATTACAGTTAAAGGGTTCCACTATTGTTATAAGCCAAAGAACCCTTTTTTGGTACTATGTAGGACCCTTTTTGCTAAGAGTGTAAATAGAACCACTGTCTTTATTAAAGAACCCTTGAAGAACCATCTTTTTAGATATAGAGAAACTTAGCTATTACAGTTAAAGGGTTCCACTATTGTTATAAGCCAAAGAACCCTTGAAGAACCATCTTTTTAGATATAGAGAAACTTAGCTATTACAGTTAAAGGGTTCCACTATTGTTATAAGCCAAAGAACCCTTGAAGAACCATCTTTTTAAATAGAGAGACTTAGTTATTACAGTTAAAGGGTTCCACTATTGTTATAACCCAAAGAACCCTTTTTTGGTACTATATAGGACATTTTTTTGCTAAGAGTGTAAATAGAGCCACTGTCTTTATTAAAGAACCCTTGAAGAACCATCTTTTTAGATATAGAGAAACTTAGCTATTACAGTTAAAGGGTTCCACTATTGTTATAAGGCAAAGAACCCTTTTTTGGTACTATATAGGACCTTTTTTGCTAAGAGTGTAAATAGAACCACTGTCTTTATTAAAGAACCCTTGAAGAACCATCTTTTTAGATATAGAGAAACTTAGTTATTACAGTTAAAGGGTTAACTGTAAGGGTCACTGGAGCCAGTGTTTGCGGAAAACGTCTACAGTGGCATTATGGAACATGATGACCAAGCGCGCCCCCTGCTGGCATGTGTGTGTGTTTAGCTTTTGGCCAACTAGTTTATTGTTAGCGAGCTGTTTCAGCGTCTCCAGCTAACATGGCTAATCTAGTGATTTGGTTATAGTTATTTTCACCTCCATCGATTTATCTCTCTGTAGTCGTCAGCTGACGTTACTCTGCTCTGATAGATGTGGAATTTCTCCACAAATCATTTATTCCTTTATTTGGTTTGGACTCCTGCTTTGTTGTGTGTTTGGTTCTTCAATCATTCTGGGCTCATCCTCCAATTTGAATCTTGGCAGCTATGACAAAGATAACATGACACGCCTTTCTAGCGGTTACACACTTCTGTTTCTTGTGAAAAGGGTCTATTCCAGCTTCCCTTCTGTTCAGGAGCCTCACTTTCAGTTCCTCAAAGAATCTGCAGACACACCTCCAAAGCTCAGTCTTAGAAGCTGGTTGATCATTTTCTGAAGTAATCAAACACATTCAGTGGTGTTGAGGTCTGGACTCTGGGGTGGTCAGTCCATCGTTCAGCTTCTTTGTTTGATGTGTCCGTCTCCTTTTCTCAGTGAGGTTCTTCTTGACAGCTACACATCCTTTCAGCCCCACAGCGCTGAGTCGTCTTCTCACAGTGGAAGGATGGACAGAAGCAGCTTGATTTTCTCCTCTCTCTCAGAGATGAAAGCTTTAAGTGCTGTTTATCTGATGGGGGCAGTTTTGGGGTCGTCCAGCTCTTCCAGGTGGTTGTTAGGAGCCACATTTTCTCTGTAGCTTCATTTGTGGACACTTTGCTTATTTTCCTTTGACTTCTTCCTTCCGTACGCAAGTGGCTTAGCTTATATCTAGTCTCCTTGGAAACATCTGCAAAATTAATAACCTGTACTTAATAGCTATTTTGGTAGAAATGAATGGAATGAAGGGCGCTTTCTGACTTTTGCACAGAACTGTAGTTGTAGGAAATATCATTCAACCTATTTCTAGACAGATATTTGTGCTCATTTCAAGCAAAATTATCTGCTAAGTGAAGACGTGATCGCCAGATACAGTTACTTTGAACAAGTAAAAATGTGTAGAAACAGGATAAATAATCTTACAATGATTAATATTAGATATATTGACTAGATTTAAGATGATTTTGCTCCTGATTTTTCTTTATTTATCTTCTTTGTCCATGCTGTAAGACTAAAGAACAAAACCAGCATGCATGTAACAGGCCAGGCTGCAGCCGCCTCAGAGGAAGAGATCTCCATTCAGTCTTTTTAGTCTCTCATGCCATAAAACAGCACATTCTTCCAAAAAACCCAACGTCTGTTCAAGATGAGCAGCTTTTTACAAACCAAAGGGATGATGTTTTCCTTTAAAGCCTTAAAGCCTCAGAATATGCTAAAAAATAAATAAATAAAAGCCCCTTAAAGAGTGATCTATTTGCATGTTGCCACCCTCTTTGATCTCGCTACTCATCCTTTCGTACAGGATGTTCTTACACCAAAGCCAATCAATGGTTTTTCTTCCCCATTGAAGTCTTAAACAGTCTGTCCAATCAGAGAGAATGTATTTCTATAGTGCTGCTACCGCAAAGATGGCCCAAATATGTTTGTGTTTACTGTATATACAATCTGCATCACTTTATTAGAAACACCTGCCTTGTACGTACTCTGCACTTTCACTCACTGGCCACTTTATTGGAAACACCTACTTTGCACTTTTACTAACTGGCCACTTTATTAGAAACAGCTACTTTGCACATTCACTAACTGGCCACTTTATTAGAAACACCTACCTTGCATTTTCACTAACTGGCCACTTTATTAGAAACACCTACTTTGCACTTTTACTAACTGGCCACTTTATTAGAAACAGCTAATTTGCACATTCACTAACTGGCCAGTTTATTAGAAACACCTACTTTGCACTTTTACTAACTGGCCACTTTATTAGAAACACCTACCTTGCACTTGCACTGACTGGCCACTTTATTGGAAACACCTACTTTGCACTTTTACTAACTGGCCAATTTATTAAAAACGCCTAACCTTTACATCCACTAACTGGCCACTTGATTAGAAACGCCTGCCCTGTACTTCCACTAACTGGCCACTTTATTAGAAACGCCTACCCTGTACTTCCACTAACTGGCCACTTTATTAGAAACGCCTACCCTGTACTTCCACTAACTGGCCACTCTATTAGAAACGCCCTCCCTGTACTTCCACTAACTGGCCACTTTATTAGAAACGCCTACCCTGTACATCCACTAACTGGCCACTCTATTAGAAACGCCTAAACTTTACATCCAATAACTGGCCACTTTATTAGAAACGACTACCCTGTACTTCCACTCACTAGCCACTTTATTAGAAACTGTACTTCCACTAACTGGCCACTTTATTAGAAACCCCTTCCCTGTACTTCCACAAACTGGCCACTTTATTAGAAATGCCTACCCTGTACTTCCACTAACTGGCCACTTTATTAGAAACGCCTACCCTGTACATCCACTAACTGGCCACTTTATTAGAAACACCTTCCCTGTACTTCCACTTACTGACCACTTTATTAGAGAGGGGTTTCCATATAATGCCTTATACAGCTTTAGGTGTCATATTTCAATATACGTCAAATATAAAGTCATGCTAAAATATTACATTATGCTCTGCATGGGCCACTAGCTGACTACCTGTAATACTTCTATGGCTTTGGTGGGCATCCGTTACAGGGGTCAACAAACATGTTATAGAACATAACATACATGCTACAAAACAACGACCGACCAGAGGTTAAACACAAATGTCAGTAGGAAAGAGAGTCGAGGAGGTTATCGATGACTTGGTCATGAACTTAGTGAAGGGTTATGTACAGAACTTATGTACAAAAAATGAAAGGAGGAAAATCACCGGAGCCAAATAAAACAGAACGCCTCATGTATTGAATGGATCATTTAGTCATTTTAAGACATCGCTCTGGCTTCGATCTGGAGAATCTCCTCCTTGGAGCGGCGCTGTGCCTGGAGATGTGGATTAATATGTAGGGAATTCGCTCTGAGTGCTGCTGAGAGACGTCTGAGTGTGCTTAAGTGTGCTTGTGAGAAGTAAATGGTCTCCAGAGAAGGCTGGTGAATCATCTCTGTGTGGTGATTAATGGGCTAAAGGTGGCCTTTAGTGCTCTGATGTCTTTAGACGCTGCGTGAAGCCATCAGTCACCGAATTATGGACGAGGAACCAGTCCAGAACAACGTGCTTTATTCCACCTTATGCAGCACGCTGCTGAAAGACTGCGGCGTAAAAAACGCTCCGGAGGTGTGCAGTGAGAAGATCGGTGTACTCATATACAAACCCAATTCCAAAAAAGCCTGGACAGCAGATAAAATGCAAATGAAAACAGAAAGTAGTGATTTGCAAATCCT